AAAAGAAAGAACCAAGAACATGTACGTCAGCCTAAAATAATCGTCCAGCATGCGAGTCCAAAGCCCAAAGAAAAAAAAAACGATTCAAGTAAGCAAAATAACTAAATAAAGTGATCGATACGTTAAGTAGAGCAGACCTAGTTAAACCTGAAGAGCCAGACAAACCTACCAAGGTTTCACCTAAGCGGATTGTCAGGGATCGTATATATATATATATATATATATATATATATATATAAAATATATTTTTTTAATGTATGCTATATTTATAGGTTAAAGTGCTCAATATCAAGGATAGAATGTATGTAAGAATAGAAGTGGACATTGAAATCAACACCCAGAGGCGACAGTCTGATTCATGCTAAACGCAATGTAAGACCATAAAACACATGGCCAGCCGATTGCATTTAATATGAAACAGATTTTTCGCCTCTGGGTATGGACTTGAATGTCCATATATATATATATATATATATATATATATATATATATATATATATATATATATATATATATATATATATATATATATGTAAAAAATTAATGAATTTTCAATCTGACTTTAATTCTCATTACATAAACGCTATATTTAGTGGTTAAACGTGTTTATCGAAGTAACAATCATAAGTATGAATGCAGGTTAATATTTGAACGAGGCAGAGAATACGGAGGCACGGAGTAATGGATAACGTCTCGGATTGAGGAATTGGAGAGCCGTGTTCAAATCCCAGTCGAATCCATTACATTCACTTACGTGCTAATACCTTCTCCCCCAGGTATGGCTAAATAGCAGGAGAGACCGGGTTCTATAGCCTTGTATGGCGTCAGGTCTACCGCAGAAAGAAGATAGCAACCTACTGCATGAAAAAAAAATCTGCCTCGTCAGTCATGTATCAAATTGATACATGATCGCCTAAGCGTGTATAATGCATGGCATATCACTGATGAGGATACAAATGAAAAAAATAGAAATTGATAAATTTACCATTTCACAGAAGTAAATTTAAAACACGTTAGTTCTTTCTCTATCTCGCATTTCTTTCTTTTTTCCTTTCTTCAAAACCAAGCAGTGTCTCTGATATCTCTTTACCTTTTTTTTTTCTCACAATCAAAACAGAATGGCCCATCTGATGTACTGACTGGGCGCGACGTACGCGACGTACGTGCGAATTACCTAAGGAACAAGAAGAATTGCTTCTGGCATCTACCGTATTTTCTTAACTCTAATACGACCCAGTGTTTCTGAAACTAAAAACGTGGAATGAATTACATCCTACAGCCATCCCTATGTAACTTTTTTGTGAAGATGTGCCTTGTTATCAATTAAAATCTTATTGTCGTACATATACTTCACTAAAATATTTAATGTTTGTTGTGGTGTCCTCCTTCTAAAGAGTCTATGTTGGACTCTTCCGACTACTATAAAATTAGTAGGAAAGAAGGCCTTGTGAGAACAGTAGAATAGATTGAACGCTGGGTCAACCAACACACACTCACTCATCGTGTAATGCTCTTCTGTTGTTCTTACAGTTTAATATATGATATATCTCTAACGCTTGTTTTGTTATTTCTTTTAAGTAAATACTTGGTTACAACAATGTTTTACCAATGTTTGGTGTGTGTAGGGGGTGCTAACTTGAAGTACCATGTAGTACATTTTAAGGTGTTAATTAATCTATCGTAATTTTCAGTTTGATGTGGCTTTATTATGTTTCTATAGATTAACCCATTCCCGCCAATTATTTGGGGAAAAATATTTCAGACGATTTTTTTTATTTGTTTTTAATATAGTAACGAAGAAATTGAGGCACCTTGAAGGAATCGATCTGTGGCAAACACATCTACCAGACGTACTAGTTGACAATTGTACAGGCACGGTAATAGATAGCGACACGGACTGAGTAATCTGAGAGCTGAGTTCGAATCCCAGTCGAATCCATTATATTTACTTATTTGCTAATATCCTAGGGAAAGTATGAATCCTCTTCTTCTCACCCCAGCTATGGGTAAATAGCAGGACAGACCGGGTTCTATAACCTTGGATAGCAACTGGTCTACCGCAGAAAGAAATGGCAACCTACTGCGGGAAAAAATCTGCCTCGCCAGTCATGTATCGGAAGTTACATGATCGCCTAAGCGTGTATCACGCATGGCACAGAACTGACTGACACGTTAAAAATAAATAAGTAAATAAATAAAAAAATTAAAAAAAACATCAAAAGAATTAAGATCGACGTATAAACGCATCGGTAGATGTTTTTGAACGTTATATTTTGAACGTGTTTATTCGTCCGTGTCTCAAAAAGAAACTTTCGGTAACAAATGTATATAAAGGTCCACAGCGCGAAGTAGGGGTTAATAAACTCTGAATAAATATCTTTAAGAATAAAGAGAAAAAAAACATTATTAAAAAAAATGAAAAGAAAGAAAGAACTCAAGAAAGACAGCAAGAAACAGATCTGTTATTGAGAAAAGAAAGAAAAAATTAATACATTGATCATAATATAGAGGAAAGGAAAGGAAAGGAAAGAAAAGAAAGAAAGAAACAGATTTATTACTGAAAAAAGAAAGAAAAGTAATACATTGATAATCATATCAAAGAAACAAAGAAGACAAAAGAAAACGCTTCAAAGAATTCGAAAGACATATATGAGCAAAACTAAGTGTATTTGCAATCTTGCTGTTTGAAAAAGGTTTTATTAGCTTATGAACCCATCTCTTCTCCGAACCGTTCTTGGTAAGACGATAAACTAAGTCCAACAGCAAGGCCTTCGATCAGGAGGTTTTGAGGAGCGTGGAACCACCTCTTAATTGTTGATGTTCCCAGGTTAATCCTGACCCGGGGTGGTAGCACATGTTAGGGTCCCAACTATGGGCAAATAGTTAACCCCCAAACTGGGGTCAAAACACTGTTAAAGTGTAAAAATAATTTTTAATAACAGAAATACTTTGTAAAAAAAAAGAAAATTATTACCAGCAATACATTTTTGAAAAACAAATATAACCAGCAATATATTTTTTGAAAAAATATTACCAGTGAAGGAAAATTCTAACGAGAAACAGATTTTGGAAGGAAAATTTTTTATTACCAGAAATAGACTTTTGGAAAAGAAATATTAAGAACAATGAAAATTTTGTCGGCATTAAATAACCCATCGAGGTTGATATGCCGTAAAACAAAACAACAAAAAAAAAACTTCTCTGAAGATTAACGAGCAGGACAGACAGGGTCTTATAATCCTTGGTTAGCAACCACTCTACCGCAGAACGAAACGGCAACCTACTGCGGGAATATCTCCTGTCTATTTAGTCATGAATCGAAAGCGACCTGATCGCCAAAGCGTGTATCACGTATAACACTTTACTCACTGACTGAAGCGTTTCTGAAAACGTGTATAATACGACCACCCATTTTTGCCTTTAATTTTCGTTCAAAGTTTAAAGTATTATGAGCAAGCAAATACTGTATTTATATTTGCACAGATCTTTGAGTGTACAAAATTAATGATTTTTGGAGTCGGCCAATCCTTTATTTATAAAACGAATATGGAATAAACGACAGTGTTCGAAAGTTAGGGGAACGGAATTGTAAATGACAAGATGAGAGGGAGAGAAATTCTAATTGAAATAAATAGAAAGACATTTTGTATTAATATTTTTGTTTTTACCAGAGGCTAACCGGTAATTAAAGAATTTAATACATTAAAAATAAAGAAATATGCGCTAAAACAAAAGCATTTAAAGCTGGAAAGAAAATTTAAATTAAAAGGAAAATTTAAAGAGTCGGCAGGGGAGATATTAATGGAAAATTTGCAATTTGTTGTGACTGCTCCGAGGTTTGAGGCGAGTAATTTGAAATTGAGGAGAGACGCCTGTCAATTTTGACTTCGTTTCGATTTGTACATTCCGGAAAATACCAATTCGGTTTTTGAACTGACCTTTGCTGCACGAAGACATTTTATATTGTAGCTAGAACAAAAATAATTGTTCAATTGATTTAAGCGCCGAAAGCATAGGGAGGAGAAAAAGAGCAGTTTGTACGGTGAGGAGGAGAATGAGAAAAAGAAGAAATAGAAGAATGCTAAACGGATATAAAAAGAGAAGGAAAGAAACTGGAAATAAGAGATTGGGTTAAAAGGAACAACGATGTGAAGGGGAATGTTGGGAAGAAGAAGAAGAAGAAGAAGAAGAAGAAGAAGAAGAAGAAGAAGAAGAAGAAGGAGGAGGAGGAGGAGAAGAAGAAGAAGAAGGAGGAGGAGAAGGAGGAGGAGGAGGAGAAGAAGAAAAGAAGGAAGAAGAACAAGGAGGAGGAGGAGGAGAAGAAGAAGGAGGAGGAGAAGAAGAAGAAGGAGGAGAAGAAGAAGAAGAAGAAGAAGAAAAAAAAGAAGATGAAGAAATAATTAACAATTATTTAAGCAAAATTAATACAATACCATGATCAAGAAAAAGAAAAAAAAGGAAAGATAAAAGATAATAGCAGATCAATTATTGCAGAAAGAAAGAAATTAATTTCATATATTGTTTCAAAAATAAGAAAATCAAAGGGAAATCAATATTAATCTAATATATTCATAAAAAATATTACGAAAAAGAAAGTAAGAATAAAATCAATTACTGAAGAAAGAAAGTAATTAAATGCATACAATGGTGAAGAAATATTAAGAAAAAGAAAATAGAAATAGATAAATGATTTAAGAAAGAAAGAAAGAAAGAAAGAAAGAAAGAAAGAAAGAAAGAAAGAAATCATCACTTATAAAAGAGATCGAGAAAAAAAGTGAAAAAACAGATCAATTATTCAAGATTAATGTTTGAGAAAAATATTACAAAAAGTTAAAAATATTATAAAAAACAAAGAAAAAGAAAACTACAGATTTATTATTGAAGGAAGAAATGAGTTAATTTAATACATCGGTAAAAATTTTAGGGTAAAGAAAAATAAAGAAAAAAGAATAAAACAATTTTATTATTGAAAAAAAAGAAAGAAAGATTGATAATAACATTCATGGAAGGAAAGAAAAAGAGAAATATAATACATTGATAATAATATCGAAGAAAAGAAGGAAACATCTATTATTGAAAAAGTAAAGAAAAAATAATATATTGATAATAATATTGAGAATAAAAGAAAGAAAGAAAGAAAGAAAGAAAGAAACATCGATTATTGAAAAAAAGGAACAAAAATAATACGCTGATAATAGTTTGAGGAAAAGAAAGAAAGAAATCAAGAAAGACAGTAAGAAACATCTGTTATTGAGAAGAGAAAGAAAAAATAATACATTGATCATAATATAGAGGAAAGGAAAGGAAAGAAAAGAAAGAAAGAAACAGGTCTATTATTGAAAAAAGAAAGAAAAATAATACATTGATAATCATATCAAAGAAACAAAGAAGAAAAAAGAAAATGCTTCAAAGAATACGAAAGACAATAATATCAAGGAAAAATTTTAAATAAAACACTACGAAAACAAAACAACAATAAAAAAAAGAAAAGTAAAGAAAAAACGAACAAATGAAAAAAAAGATGGAAGAAAAAACCTCACGACTACGGGGACAACATCGAAAGAAAAAAAAAAGAAAAAGAAAAGCAGAAGAAATCGCAAGGAAAGAAAGAAAGAACCAAAGAGATGAACACTGAAAGCGGAGAAGGGAAAAAAAGACAAAGTAGTCAGGTGAGAAATGGAAGACCAATTTATAGAATGATGACAAACGTCGAAAAGAAACAAAAAAAAAAAAAAAAAACGAAATCCATGACAAGCCAAAAAAAAAAAAAAAAAAAAAGACAATAAAAGAAAGGTGAAAAAAAGAATTAAAGTCAATTAAGTAAAGAAAGAGTGAAAAAGAGATTTAATAATTTCTTCCTTTGTCGTATCGACAAAATGTTCTTGAAATTTGCAGACAATTTGAGAAATCAATTACGAAAATGTAGCGATTAATGTTTCTCCATAAATACCCAAATATGTTAGGAAAATGAAAACAGAATAATCGATTTAGTTTGATCGATACAAAAAAAGCATTCACACTCAAATACATAAAAGTGTGAAAGTGTTGGAATCTTTCTATGAAAAAAGACATTTTTGAATGAACAGAAACGCGTATAAACATGTTTTCTTACTACTGTGAAACTATGAGATTACACAGATAAATATCAAACGAACACATCAGCAAACACACATACACATAAACACAAATATATACACCCCTACATACACATATATATATATGTGTGTGTGTGTGTGCGTGTGGATATATATCTTCATTCGTCAAAAAAGCCAACACCTCCTTAATAAAAACTTCTGAATTCTCATTACCCCACCAACTTTAAATATACAATACTATTTGGCTTATAAATAGAGTAAATCAATTTTTTCGAAGTTTATTCTCAGCATCTCTTGAAAATGGAACTGAACTTCAAATTTTAATTTAAGATTTAAGTTTTGGTTTCATTATGCATGTTTCATTAAATAATATACACAAGTTTTGTCTATTTATTCTATGTAAATTCTTTTCATATCGTCTGATAAACTTAATAAGATTATCATTAACAAGCTTAATAACATTATCATTACAAAGGCTTAATAACATTATCATTGAAATGTTATTACGCTTAATAACATTATTAAATTGAAAAGTTTTTATATTATTTAAGAAACATATCAATGAAAAAAAATACATTAAATTAAAAATATATATATATATATATATATATATTTATATATATATATATATATATATATATATAGTAAAATACCTCATCTGAGGATGGATAATGTGGCATGTGTAGTATAACTATAATTTAACAAAGCACAAGAACATATTGCAGTATATGAAAGATTAAGTATCTCACGAAATCTGAAGTGAGAATATTATGTAGCGATTTCAACATGTTTTGTTCTAAAATAAAATAATAATAATAATAATATATTAGTTTACTTTGTATTGAGCACATTTTTCAAAAAGTAAATGCTTCGAATAGCCGAATTTTACTTCATCTGTTCTTTCTCTCATATATATATATATATATATATATATATATATATATATATATAATACATAATAAAAACAAGTAAAAATAATCAACCTAAATAAATAAAGTAAATAATAATAATTAAACAAACCAATCCCGCCAAAATAACCGTTAGAATAGACTACAACAACCAATCCAAAACTTGGGCGTAAAAATAACTATATAACGATAAACAAAACATTAATACTTTACTCAAAACCAAATAAAAATATACAAAACGAAAAATAAGTAAAGAAATAAAACAAATAAAAATTAATCCAAATAAATAAATAAATGCAAAATTAACAAATCGCCCCCGCTAAAATAACCGTTAGAATTAATAAAAATAAGCACAAATAAGCAAAAACAAGTAAAAATTAAAAAAAATCCAAATAAATAAATGAATTAAAAACTGTCCCCTGCCAAAATAACAGAATAGACTACAGTAAGCAATCTAAACATTGAACCAATAAATAGGCTTAATTATCTTCCTAGACCAAGACTAAATATTAAATAAGCGACCTAAGCAAATCCTCACCAATTTGTTTTTATTACGTTAATAAAACATCAAAGACCAAAAAGAATAAATAATACAAAATGAACAAATAAATTAACCCAAATATCTAAATAAATAAACTAGCCACTGCCACAAAAATAACGGCCAGAATAGATTACCCACAATACACCACTGACCTATATATATAAAAAGTTGAGGAAAAATAAATTTCACGGCCTGACGAATGCGTCTAGCATGAAAGAGCCTGTCGCCTCTGAGTATTGACTTCCATATTCATATATATATATATATATATATATATATATATATATATATATATATATATATATAGTGTTTTTTTATAAAAATTAAGATAATTCCAAAGTTTTTGTCTGTAGTGCATATATATATATATATATATATATATATATATATATATATATATATATATATATATATATATATTATATATATATAAAACTTTGGAACTATCTTAATTTCTTTAAAAACAATATATATATATAAACACAATCTCCGACGATTTTTCTCGATCTGCTCACGAAACACTAACGTAAGCAATGACAATATAGAATGAAATGAACTAACTCCGACAATTATTTAATATATTTTCTGTTTATACAATTTATTTAAGTTCATGCTCTCTTTTTTAACTACACAGTATTAATAAAATTTAGCGCCATTTAAAAACATAGCTTTCACTTAAATAACTTTTATCTATTAAAACAACGTATAAACAGAATGTATATTAAATAATTGTAGGAGTTCGTCGTTTTAATTGCATATTGTCATTGTTTGCGTTACGATGCGTTTCGTGAGCAGATATGATCGATCGATTTTTAAATCGTCGGAGATTGTGTGTTTAAAAATATTAGTTTGTACTAATCACACGCTTCTCTATAGCTAAGTGGTATAGCACATAGAATCAAATGACGGTTTCGTGTAATACACGTCATATATATATATATATATATATATATATATATATATATATATATATATATATATATATATATATACGGAAAAACAAACAAAAATCCTTATATACAATTATGCAGTTTTATGTTAATATGTCAACGTCGGACGTTTTAATCTAATAAAACATCGTCAGAACATATTCATAAATTATAACATTATCAATACAACATGACAAAGACGATAATGATATAAATTATGAATATGTCCTGAAGATGGTTTATTAGACCGAAACGTCCGACGTTGACATATTTACATTAAAACTGCATAATTGTATATAAGGATTTTTGTTTGTTTTTCCGTGTATATTGTATATTTTTCTTCGTACGGTCGGATCTATATCCATATATTTGCTTACATATATATATATATATATATATATATATATATATACACAACGTAAAGAGCATAAAATGCGACGGAAGTTGACTTACTTTAGAAGGGAGATGTTTATTGTTTTAAAATCCTGTTAACGTGAGATTTGCCTGTCTGGGCTTTGTAGACTGCATTTATTGTATTTTTTTGTTATTTCATATGTCTTGATGTATAAAATATTTTTTTTTTTATATGCAACCATATTTCCCTTAAGAAATTAAATCTTTCTTGACCAAATTAGATTATAACTAGTTTTAAATAGTTAAAAATGTATTCGAATTAATTTTTTATTTTTATTTATTGACATATTTTAACTTTTTCTTGCCCGACATTATCATTATTGTACTTGTCAGAACTATTCTTTGTATCTTTTTTGGGCATGGACTTCCAGGAATCCCTTCAATTAGTCTACTGGAATCTTTTCCAATCAATCCTAGGGCTCCAAGTACAACAGGGATTGTTGATGTTCCCATGTGCCACATTTTTGAGATTTCGATTTCAAGGTCCTTGTATTTTGACAGCTTTTTGAATATCTTCAAAGATACATTGCAGTCTGCAGGGACTGCCATATCAATAAGGAGGCACTTTTTTTTTTGTGGTCTTTAATAACAATGTCTGGGCGGTTGGCTTTGATTGTTCTGTCAGTGTGTATTGTGTAGTCCCATAGAATTGTAACAGGTCCTATCTCCGTAACCGGGTCTGGGTGGTGTTCATACCAGTTTTTTACAGTTTCCTTCCAGTGGAAGTTGCAGATTTTTCAGTGCAGATATTGGCCCATTCTGTCATGCCGGGTTTTATATTTCGTACAACGAAAGATATAATATACAAATGTCTTGAGATACTAGTTTAATTCATTCTACGACCGAGCTGAAAAGACTCGTATATCAAATCAATTTCCCATTTAAAATTAATGGGAATTTTTCTGAGCTGTTCGAAGCCCCTAATAATCACACTTATTTTCCTAAATCTCACATCCTTTTGTGTCTTGCTGGTTTTCTTTCAAGCAAAACCTTGTGAATAAACAAGGGATGTAGCTTATAAACAATGAAATTAAAGAAATAAACTGAACTAAACAATGAAGATCAAAAGAGTTATAGGTCAACAGGTGGAGAAGAGGGTGAGGGTGACAAGAACAGCTAGCCTTGTAAACACTAACGTTGCCTAGTAACGGCAAGCTACGATATAGAAGATTAACCTCAACGCTTAATTTTTTAATTTTTTAAAACTTTTAAATTTTATCCATTACTTAACTATTTTTTTGATTGTTAACATTGTCTATTTTTTAATTTATCGTCGATGCAATGGATTTAGCGAGACAGTATGAGCGTTCGTTCATACCGTCTCGCCAAATCCATGACTCGTACGTCTTTCTCGTGTTTTTATTTTTTTAAATAATTTCCCACTTTATCTCAAGAGAAATCATGCGTTTCGGATTTTCACCACTGCTATTTACACTTACTTTGTTCGGACCCATGGTGTCACTAAAGGAATTTTGCAAAATAACGACAAAAAAGACACAAAATAACAAAACAAAACCTTCAAATGCAGAGATGAACACGTGTAATGTGGATAATAATAACTGAGAATCGCTCGTATCTCAAAATTCATCTCGTATCTCAAGGCAAAAAATCGGCTCGTATCTCAAAAACTTGTATGTTGGTAGGCCCGTATATCAACACATTACTATAGATACCCCCCCCCAAAAAAAAACAACTCAATTTTGCACTTAACTAATTACACTGTACTTGTCTATAATAATGACAT